TTCCAGTACTGTTAAATTACGATGGCATTTTGAAGTCCTAATCAGCAATGGAGGAAATGGATAGAGAAGCAGTTGCAACAGCTGTTCAGAGAGTGGCTGGAATGCTTCAACGGCCTGATCAGCTGGATAAAGTGGAGCAGTATCGCAGGAGGGAGGCTCGTAAGAAGGCTTCAGTAGAAGCCCGACTCAAGGTATGAACTTTGATAAACTTGAATGTCCGCAATGCAGAAGTAGTTTCTTTTATTTTTCACCTGTATATTTTCATCCAGATAGTTTGAAAGCATGGACCTTTTTGCTCTTTGTCTCCGCCAAGTCTCTGTACACTTGATTCTAATGCAAGCTAATGATCTGTGTCACACTGAAAACTTAACAAGTATCAAGCGTTTCCTATATTTTCTACAGTTTATCAGTAAACAACTCCCCTCATCCTTTACAACCTGTCAACTAAAAAATCTTCATTGTAGTGGCTGAATACCAAATTGAAGATTGCTTCTAAAAAGGGTCATTGCACTGCAAATACAATTGGTCTGACCTGTACTTGAGCTAACACTCAGATATTTTAAATAGTGTGTGTTAATACGATTGAGGAAGAAAATGACATCAATCAAAAAAAATCAGAACACACTTTTTTTTTTCCCCTAGATGTTTCTGCCCACAGTGCAGTCATGCAAATAGCCTGTTTTCCCTTTCTGACACAGTAGCCTGTATTCCTTTTCTGATGCAGCGTTGGTATCACATGATCACAGTCACTTGCCTACTGGCTGCTTCTGCAACCAGTATGCATAAAGGCAATTTTATGAACATGAGGTATCATACTTTATAGCCAGAAAGTTCCCTTGTCACTTACCTTAAGTTGTCCTAATTTCAGTCATTTATGGAAACACCTCTTCCAAAAAGACGTACAATGATCCTTTACCATTGACAATTCACTCCCAAAACATGCACTAACATGGCACGCTTAGCAATTCAATGGACAGCAAAACAATTTTTTCCCAAAAGAATTAACGTAATAAAGGAGATATGTGGGAAGGTTTTAAGAAATACATAGAACTTAAATACAGAGGGAGAGTGTGTGTGGTGTGGAGAACAGATCATCAGCTGCAGCTGCTGACTTCTTGTGTTGGGTTGCCTTCGAAAGATTTCAGCTACTTCATCTGTGCGAATGAACATGTTGCAAACCTTTCAGTATGAATATTTTAGTGCTTCCATGGATATGTTTTCCACTGGACATGTTTACATCTTAGTCATCATTTTCCTTTGATCCATCAAGATAATAGTCATTTGTGTGTAAAGAATAGAAAAGCAGGAAAGTAGTTGTGCGACATCTTCACGGAGAGATGAAGCAGCTGAGATCTTCTGGAGTGGTGTCCTTCTCAAAAAGGAAACAAAAAATAATCTACTCCTTTAGTTGGTGATCCTCCTCTTCCTATCCACTCCCTGATATTTCTTTCTGCATTACATAAATTGTTACAGGGAAAGCTGCTTTGAAATATGTCAAACTCAGCTGCTTCATGCACTTCAAACTGATTCCAGTTAGTGGAGCAATGTGTTGATCAGTTGGTAATAAAACTTTGATCTGTACATTCAGGGCATTCTCATGTGCCATCATCTTCTATCTATCCCCCTTTGAAATGAAGTAGTGAAGGAAACTCATTAGTTTTCTTCTCTCTGGGGAGAGAAACCCCATTCTACTTTCCCATGATCTTAGTTTAAAATAGACTTACAAAGATGATGGTAGATCTGTGTTTCTGAGTTCCTGCATCAGCTTTGTTTGAAGCAGTTGTCTGTGCTCTTTTAAAAAAAAAAAAAAATTAAAACACCCATGCCCTTATAAGTTACACATTTGTAGTAAACTATAATATCCTCTTCTCAGTTATTTTTCTCTGGAAATGTTACTGAAGATTGCTCGTTTGTTACTGTCAGTTTGTCACTGATATTGTACTATAATTTCTTTATCTGTTTGTGTTTAAGGCAGCAATCCAGTCTCAGTTAGATGGAGTACGAACAGGTTTAAGTCAACTGCACAATGCCTTGAACGATGTAAAGGACATTCAGCAGTCTTTGATTGATGTTAATAAAGATTGGAGACAGAGCATCAACACCATAGAAAACCTCAGGGATGTTAAGGATGCTGTAGTGCAACACAGCCAGCTGGCAGCTGCTGTAGAAAATCTCAAAAACATCTTTTCAGGTAATCCAAGGTTCCATATATAATTCATCAAAAATTGAAAGCACTTCAATATGCTACTAACAACTCTATCTATAGATAACGTGATGAACTTCAAACTCACTAGGCATTAAGAGCTGAGGAAAAATCACCTGGACATCAGGTTCAGAAAAGTAGCTAGCAACTCATTAGTACGTGTTGAGTTTGAATTGCTCTGTGAGAACTTCCAGTCTGGCCTATCTCATGGGACATAATAGAAGTCACAAAAAAATGCTGCTTGCTAGCAGTTAGTAGCAAGAATAACATACTTGTTGTAGAAGACTAAAATACTCAAGCCACGCAGAGAAGCAAAATGTAAAAAGATCCAAAATATTGCAAGTGGGTTGGCATCTACAGTAATACTGTTGGATAAAAAGTCCCATATGGCTTTAGAAAGCAGTTCATTTTGCAAATGAATGTAAAATATCCAATAGCAAAATTTCCAGGCAAGAATTCTTTAGCAATCTCTCCTCATAATACTCCATGTTGTCTACCTTGACTTCAGCAAGGCTTTACACTGTCTCCCATAACACCCTGGTAGGTAAGCTTAGCTTAGATGATTGGACAGTGAGGTGGATTGCAGACTGCCTGAATGGCAGAGCTCAGAGTGGCGGGAATGCAACAAGGAGGACTCAGGCCTATTTGAAATTAAATCTGGCAAGAGATGTCAAGGAATCTGTCTTCTGTCTTCTGCAAATCCATCAGTAGCAAGGGGAAGACAGGGAAAATGTGGGCCTGCTGCTTAATGGGGTGGGTACTCTGATGAAGGATAAAGAGAAGGCAGATTTACTGCATGCTGCCTTTGCTTCAGTCTTTACTACTAAGGCCAGACCCTGGAGACAAAGCAGAAAGTCTGGAGAAAGGAAGACTTGCCCTGGTGAAGGGGGGTCAGGTTAGAGATAATTTAAGCAAACCTGACACATTTGAACAGATTTGTGGGCCTCTTTGGGATGCACCCAACAGTACTGAGGAAGCTGACAGGTGTGATTGAGAACCGGCTGAATGGCAAAGCTCGTGGGCTCTGTGTGTTAATGTTACAAGCACAGTTTCAGCTGCACAGTCTCTACTCCAGAAATGAATAGCACAGTTGCTAATGTGCATCAAAAAATTATGGACGGGAGACTCTGCTTCCTTGCAACACTGCACAATAGGAAAGGTTCTGAATGAAATGATTAATGTGGCATGATGGACATTGTAAAGGTTTGGAAAGAAAAAACAATTTTCTCTGGAAAACAGTGAAAAGGGAGTCAATTTAAGGAGTCTTACTCACAGAAAATTGATAGATTTCTCTGTATTGTCTTCCATGGAGTAACTGCAAAGTTCATAACTTGGTAGTTCCCTTTGACTTTTAACGTAGCTTAATCTTCCATAATTTCCTTTTCTGTTTCAGGGTGCTGGCATGAGAAGTTGTACTTACGAAGCAACTTGATTAGTTGATTGAGAATACTGTACAAAGGTTATTTATGTAGCGTGTTAATGTATTAATTTAACACATAACCTATCTCTTTTCAAATGCTTGGAGATAACCTGTATACTTAAATAGCCTCGATATTAAGAAAAAAAAAAGAAAAAAAAAAAGAAAAAGCTATTAAAATATAACGGGCATTTCAGTTAGAACCATCTGGAGTTGAAGGAGAAAAACTGAAAAAAGAGTTTTTTAGGTATTTTCTGCGTGCACACGTTACGTTTTTTGGTCTCCTCTGGATTGGGCTGATATTGAAGTATGTGTTAACGGTGTTTCCTACCTTCCATGTGGAGTCAAGATATTACAGATTTGGTGATGATCTACTGGATATGCTAACGCACTCTGACTTTTAAGTAGTTGTCACTTTCAAAGAAGAATATGGATTTGAGGGAATCTGATACACAGTAGTAACAGAGTAAAACTTGGGAGCATCCTGTTTAATTGACTTAAGATATAAAAGGTCTTTTTATCTGGAAGGAACCAGAAACATCCAATGTGCTTCTGTCTTGTGGAGTTCCATGCATATTTGTACTTTCAGTGGTTGGGATCCTGTCTCCCATCAGTAGCTAGTGCAACTTGAAAGGAACAGGAATGGTTTTGTTGCTGGAAGATTTTGCCTGTTCTGTTTTTTTGTGTCTAATAATTAGCTGGTGTGTCTTCATTTTATCAGATATTCAACTGGAGATTGGAGGGGAAAACTTGACTAATTTTCCCCTCTATAGCTGCAACTCTGATGAACTGATACTATGAGAAGAAGGGACAAGAGGAGATAAATTATTTTTTCACCAAAATATAAACGAAACTGCTTTAAAATCAAGTCTGCAGGTCTAGAGCTCCTGCAGCTGTGTTTCTTTCCACTCTTGGTAGCAAGTTTGAGCTGTTCAAGAGGGTCAGTGATTTTCACAGCTCCACCAAATTCAGCTTCACTATGAGTTAATGCTTTTTGTCTGGAATTTGCCACGAGATTCTTTTGTTCATGTCTATTCCTCTTCTAGTAGACAAGTCTATTTTAGAATTAGATAGAACCTTTATTTGAAAGGTAAGACTTGTTGCTTTCGTTTTGTAAGTTTACTTGTTGATGCACACTTAGAGAGGGCAAGATATGAAAGAAACACTCTAATCAGAAGCATTACATGTAAATTAGTACAAACAAAATAATTGGTTAATTTTTTTTATATTTCCAGTTAGTGCTATTCATAATGCCTTGTAATGATTCTTCTACAGAGTTGCTCAGTTGTTATTGCCAGGATTAGTTCTCCCATCATTAGCTTTGAAGAGTCATATCAAATACAAATGTTTTCTAAAGGTTTTTATTTTCTTTCCAGTACTGTTAAATTACGATGGCATTTTGAAGTCCTAATCAGCAATGGAGGAAATGGATAGAGAAGCAGTTGCAACAGCTGTTCAGAGAGTGGCTGGAATGCTTCAACGGCCTGATCAGCTGGATAAAGTGGAGCAGTATCGCAGGAGGGAGGCTCGTAAGAAGGCTTCAGTAGAAGCCCGACTCAAGGTATGAACTTTGATAAACTTGAATGTCCGCAATGCAGAAGTAGTTTCTTTTATTTTTCACCTGTATATTTTCATCCAGATAGTTTGAAAGCATGGACCTTTTTGCTCTTTGTCTCCGCCAAGTCTCTGTACACTTGATTCTAATGCAAGCTAATGATCTGTGTCATACTGAAAACTTAACAAGTATCAAGCGTTTCCTATATTTTCTACAGTTTATCAGTAAACAACTCTCCTCATCCTTTACAACCTGTCAACTAAAAAATCTTCATTGTAGTGGCTGAATACCAAATTGAAGATTGCTTCTAAAAAGGGTCATTGCACTGCAAATACAATTGGTCTGACCTGTACTTGAGCTAACACTCAGATATTTTAAATAGTGTGTGTTAATACGATTGAGGGAGAAAATGACATCAATCAAAAAAAATCAGAACACACTTTTTTTTTTCCCCTAGATGTTTCTGCCCACAGTGCAGTCATCCAAATAGCCTGTTTTCCCTTTCTGACACAGTAGCCTGTATTCCTTTTCTGATGCAGCGTTGGTATCACATGATCACAGTCACTTGCCTACTGGCTGCTTCTGCAACCAGTATGCATAAAGGCAATTTTATGAACATGAGGTATCATACTTTATAGCCAGAAAGTTCCCTTGTCACTTACCTTAAGTTGTCCTAATTTCAGTCATTTATGGAAACACCTCTTCCAAAAAGACGTACAATGATCCTTTACCATTGACAATTCACTCCCAAAACATGCACTAACATGGCACGCTTAGCAATTCAATGGACAGCAAAACAATTTTTCCCAAAAGAATTAACGTAATAAAGGAGATATGTGGGAAGGTTTTAAGAAATACATAGAACTTAAATACAGAGGGAGAGTGTGTGTGGTGTGGAGAACAGATCATCAGCTGCAGCTGCTGACTTCTTGTGTTGGGTTGCCTTCGAAAGATTTCAGCTACTTCATCTGTGCGAATGAACATGTTGCAAACCTTTCAGTATGAATATTTTAGTGCTTCCATGGATATGTTTTCCACTGGACATGTTTACATCTTAGTCATCATTTTCCTTTGATCCATCAAGATAATAGTCATTTGTGTGTAAAGAATAGAAAAGCAGGAAAGTAGTTGTGCGACATCTTCACGGAGAGATGAAGCAGCTGAGATCTTCTGGAGTGGTGTCCTTCTCAAAAAGGAAACAAAAAATAATCTACTCCTTTAGTTGGTGATCCTCCTCTTCCTATCCACTCCCTGATATTTCTTTCTGCATTACATAAATTGTTACAGGGAAAGCTGCTTTGAAATATGTCAAACTCAGCTGCTTCATGCACTTCAAACTGATTCCAGTTAGTGGAGCAATGTGTTGATCAGTTGGTAATAAAACTTTGATCTGTACATTCAGGGCATTCTCATGTGCCATCATCTTCTATCTATCCCCCTTTGAAATGAAGTAGTGAAGGAAACTCATTAGTTTTCTTCTCTCTGGGGAGAGAAACCCCATTCTACTTTCCCATGATCTTAGTTTAAAATAGACTTACAAAGATGATGGTAGATCTGTGTTTCTGAGTTCCTGCATCAGCTTTGTTTGAAGCAGTTGTCTGTGCTCTTTTAAAAAAAAAAAAAAATTAAAACACCCATGCCCTTATAAGTTACACATTTGTAGTAAACTATAATATCCTCTTCTCAGTTATTTTTCTCTGGAAATGTTACTGAAGATTGCTCGTTTGTTACTGTCAGTTTGTCACTGATATTGTACTATAATTTCTTTATCTGTTTGTGTTTAAGGCAGCAATCCAGTCTCAGTTAGATGGAGTACGAACAGGTTTAAGTCAACTGCACAATGCCTTGAACGATGTAAAGGACATTCAGCAGTCTTTGATTGATGTTAATAAAGATTGGAGACAGAGCATCAACACCATAGAAAACCTCAGGGATGTTAAGGATGCTGTAGTGCAACACAGCCAGCTGGCAGCTGCTGTAGAAAATCTCAAAAACATCTTTTCAGGTAATCCAAGGTTCCATATATAATTCATCAAAAATTGAAAGCACTTCAATATGCTACTAACAACTCTATCTATAGATAACGTGATGAACTTCAAACTCACTAGGCATTAAGAGCTGAGGAAAAATCACCTGGACATCAGGTTCAGAAAAGTAGCTAGCAACTCATTAGTACGTGTTGAGTTTGAATTGCTCTGTGAGAACTTCCAGTCTGGCCTATCTCATGGGACATAATAGAAGTCACAAAAAAATGCTGCTTGCTAGCAGTTAGTAGCAAGAATAACATACTTGTTGTAGAAGACTAAAATACTCAAGCCACGCAGAGAAGCAAAATGTAAAAAGATCCAAAATATTGCAAGTGGGTTGGCATCTACAGTAATACTGTTGGATAAAAAGTCCCATATGGCTTTAGAAAGAAGTTCATTTTGCAAATGAATGTAAAATATCCAATAGCAAAATTTCCAGGCAAGAATTCTTTAGCAATCTCTCCTCATAATACTCCATGTTGTCTACCTTGACTTCAGCAAGGCTTTACACTGTCTCCCATAACACCCTGGTAGGTAAGCTTAGCTTAGATGATTGGACAGTGAGGTGGATTGCAGACTGCCTGAATGGCAGAGCTCAGAGTGGCGGGAATGCAACAAGGAGGACTCAGGCCTATTTGAAATTAAATCTGGCAAGAGATGTCAAGGAATCTGTCTTCTGTCTTCTGCAAATCCATCAGTAGCAAGGGGAAGACAGGGAAAATGTGGGCCTGCTGCTTAATGGGGTGGGTACTCTGATGAAGGATAAAGAGAAGGCAGATTTACTGCATGCTGCCTTTGCTTCAGTCTTTACTACTAAGGCCAGACCCTGGAGACAAAGCAGAAAGTCTGGAGAAAGGAAGACTTGCCCTGGTGAAGGGGGGTCAGGTTAGAGATAATTTAAGCAAACCTGACACATTTGAACAGATTTGTGGGCCTCTTTGGGATGCACCCAACAGTACTGAGGAAGCTGACAGGTGTGATTGAGAACCGGCTGAATGGCAAAGCTCGTGGGCTCTGTGTGTTAATGTTACAAGCACAGTTTCAGCTGCACAGTCTCTACTCCAGAAATGAATAGCACAGTTGCTAATGTGCATCAAAAAATTATGGACGGGAGACTCTGCTTCCTTGCAACACTGCACAAGAGAAAAGGTTCTGAATGAAATGATTAATGTGGCAGGATGGACATTGTAAAGGTTTGGAAAGAAAAAACAATTTTCTCTGTCCTTTTTTACAAACTTTTTGATGAATATTTACAATTCCATCTCTAATCTACATGAATTCCTTGCCAGGACTTCTCCTTTTAGAAGTCATTTTCAGAGCTTTATCTCTTAGATGAAACACAGTGAAAACGCATAGGCTTCACATGCCTTTGATTTTATATAGATGTTTCATTTTAAATATTATTTCACATTCTCTTTGGATATCTTTTCATAAAATGTACACATGAAGAACACCTGTTTTTCAGACATGCTAAATTGGCTTGGTTAATCTCCGTGAGAATGTATCTAGCTGGTGCAGTAAAAAATAGGATACAATGTGCAATTTAATCAAAAAGTTCTCAATCTCTGTTATGTGCTACATCTAGCAGTAGAGATCAAAGAAGGAAAAAACATCTCTACATTCCAATATTGAGTTATTGTGAGGATACTGTTTCTTCTTGCACTGGTAAATGGAAATGAAAATATAAACCTTTTCTTGTATGCTAAGAGGCTTTGAGTGTAAAGTATCTACAACCAAGATCATTATGCAGTGTAGTTGATTATAAGTTCCTTTAGGCATTGTTTTCACGATAATTAATGGTCATAGACTGTGTTCCTTCATGCACCTTTTCCTTGGGATGTCAATTTTATTACAAGTTGCCTTTATGGAGTGACTACTTTCTCCAAAGAGATTCTTTTTTTGTCTGTTCTCAGTTCTTTTCTCTTTATCTTCTAGGTAATTCCTCAAATCCTGAATTAAAAAAAATACATTAATAGTTTAAATAGTTTAGCAATATAGGTAGTTTTGCCTGTTCTTCCTTCCTGCCTTAGGCAACCCAACTGTTCCTTCCAGAAGGAGCTAAAATTCAGTATTCATTGTGTGTGTGCAGCCTCAGCTGCACCAATAGGGTTAGTGATTTTATTTATTATTTTATCTTAAGTCAGGCAAATTAAATCCCTTAAGCTAGTAAGAAAGCTAACATTACAGTAAGTTTTATGGTAGAGTTTCCTGGCTTCTTAAGGGGAAAGAGAAGGCAAGCTGTCTTCTGTTGGCATTTTGATCTTAGTTTCAGTAGCCTTTGGTCACTGTAAATGATTGTAATAAAAGATATGGAAGCACTAGAATTAAAGATGTGGAAGGACTTTTAAAGGCATATTGTAATTACTAGCAATACATCGAATACATTGCAATTATTTCCTTTAAATATTTCAAAAGAATTGCTACAGCTTTTTCCCAGTTTATTTCCTGATGCTGTTAGTATCTTGTGTTTATTTTCATAGTCTGATGGCATCTTTTTTTTCACCTTTATATTTCAGTTCCTGAGATAGTCAGGGAGGCACAAGATTTGATTGAACAAGGGGAACTGCTGCAAGCTCATCGAAAACTGATGGATTTAGAGTGTTCTCGGGATAACCTAATGTATGAGCAATATCGTATGGACAGCAAAAACACACATGACATGAACCTCATCCATACATACTTTGGGGATATGCAGAAACTTTCCGAGGAACTGGCAAAACAGCTTTGGATGGTGGTTCAAAGATCTCTCGTTACGGTCCGTCGAGACCCGACCTTACTTGTTTCCGTTGTCAGGATAATTGAGAGGGAAGAGAAAATTGACAGGCGCATGTTAGATCGGAAAAAGCAAACTGGGTTCATACCACCTGGCAGACCAAAGAACTGGAAAGAAAAGATGTTCAACATCTTGGAAAGAACTGTAAGCACTCGAATCGAAGGCACTCAAGCAGATACCAGAGAGTCTGACAAAATGTGGCTCGTGCGCCATCTAGAAATCATACGTAAATATGTCCTTGATGATCTGTTAGTGGCCAAAACCCTACTGGATCAATGTTTTCCCCCACACTATGACATTTTTAAGAGATTACTAAGTATGTACCATCAGGCGTTGTCCATCCGCATGCAAGAGCTGGCTTCAGAAGATCTGGAAGCAAATGAGATTGTTAGCCTTCTGACTTGGGTTTTAAACACATACAAGAGGTAAGATCATCTTTTCAAGAATCATGTTTTCCTGTTAGGAGCAGCTGCAAGTTTATATGCTACTGCATATAAAACACAGTGTGCTATTAATAATAACTAGTATTAGGCTAAAAGATGTCTTATTAGTATATAAGAAGATAAAACTATCAAAGTGGGTAGTGGTAAAGAGCTTGCTATGTTGATATTTGTTAAGTATTGTGTTTCTTAGAAGTTATTCCTTAATATTTCCTTGAATTTTTCTAATATGTGATTTTTTTGTTGCTTCGTAAGCTTAAAGTTTAATGCTGTTACACAGTCATCTGACGCTACTGTCACAGTGAATTAGCATATTCATATTCATTTGCAGATTTAGTAAGGTATTGATCAGAACAGAACAGACTTGGATCTTACATATTTGTATAGTTAACAACTTTCTGTTGTAATTGTAGCAAGTATTGGCACTGTTTGTGTGTTCCTTATTGTTAAATTGAAAGAATTTTTTTTTGATGTTCTCAGAACTGTGTTGATTTGGTGGGTTTTTGATGTTGTTTAACAGCAGTTAAGATAGCATATGTTTAATTTGTGCGGGCCTGTAGTTATTAGGGTTACCAAATTATTCTGGAAAAAGTATTAACAGCTTTCTAGTGGTTAATGACTGTAATCCTGTTCTCAACAGTTTGTATTGACCCAGGGTCTGAGATGTGTACACTTCTACTGCCTTTATTGCCAGTTGTTCAACTGTACTGTTTCATCAAATTAAACTCTTGCTGTCCTAAGCAAATCTGTAGGAGATATAACCGTTTTCTGGAGTTTCTGTAACCAGCTTTAAGACACCTTTTGTGTTTAGAACTTGATGCTTTATAGTTCAGCATCCTCCTGCTCTTCTTGCTACAAGAAGCAACCGTGCTTATGGTTAACAACCCTTGGGCATGCTTATGTCCATGTTCACGCTGTATAAGAGATATGGCTAATGAACACAAGGCAACTATGAGATGAAGGAGCTTGAGTTCATTTTCTTTTTCATATTGTGCTATTAGAAGGACAGAGGAATGACTTGACAATGAATGAAAATCAGAAATATTACGTAATGCTAGTTCCCCCTGCCTACAGGGGCATGGCTCAAACTAATCCTGCTCTCAGTTTCTTCATTTTTATAATAGGCCTATTTTTCCAGTAAGATGATCTTTGGTCATGAAATCACCCTCCTGAGCTCCCACCAGAAAGTAGAAACAGATGGCTGTTGAGTTGGTTTAAAGCTATTCAACATCTCTCCATGAACATAATCTCAGTTAGGACAGCAAAAGTAAAGGAGTAAAACTATAGGGGCAGAATTATTTATGAGGCAAACAAAATAAGATCATTCCTGCAAAATAAAGTTACGTAGCAGGTACCACCTCACTGTAGAATCTTGGAATGAAGGTGAGATGGTGACTGGAGTAAATTTGCTTTAAGGTATCTGAGGACACACTTCTCTCCTGCACATCCACATAATGAACATGATGGATAATCTTAGAAAAAATGCACAGTCTTATGTTTCTGAAGTGAAGCCTGAGGGGACGGCGCAGGAATTGTTTTCTTACGTGTTACTACAGGCTGTTGCAAAGATGGTCATTAGTTGCTACCTATGTTTGGAGTAGGGAGTGGAGTAAGAAATCAACTAAGTCTTGGAGCTGGAGGGAAAGTAAGCTACTCAAGGCTACCTGGGAAGCTTAGAGAAGTTCAGTCGCTGAAAATCCTTGAAGAATAAGTTAATCTTCTGTAATATGAAATTATGAAAAGTTTAGATTTCTTCAAAATATTTTCTGTAACATTTTTCTTTAAATAATCTTGGCTATAGCTTTTACATTTTTTTCTTTTATATGATTTTATTTAAGTTTTTTAAATGTACTTAACTGCAGCTGTTTGTATTAAAGATTTTTGGCCATGCGTAGATAATGGAAAATTGCAAATTTTAGTCATTATACCAAAAAAACTGCATAGATTTTAATTTCTTTATTAATTTGCAATGTCTTTTTTTTTTTTTTAAAAAAAAACTCAGTGCAGAGATGATGGGAAATTCAGAACTATCTCCTGAAGTAGATATAAATTGTCTGAATCTTCTACTTTCACAAAATGTGGTAGACCAGCTTCTCAGCAAATACATGTCAACTCTTACTGTGAGTAGTAACAATTTAAAGATACCTTGAAATGAAACAATAGCTATCTTAGTGTCTCAGAACTCTTTTTTTTTTTTTTTTTTTTGCACCAGAGGAAACTATTTTTATAAATGGAAACTTGGTACATTTTTACAAAACCTCATATGCATGCTGGTTTGTTTATAGACAGTTTTAATCAGAAGATGTCAGATGTAAATCATGAAATGCCAAAGTAATTATGCTTTGCGGATTATATAGGCTTTCTAGATTTTGAGATTTTGTTAACTATATTTTATTAGAAAGAAAAGAATTCTAGAGTTTATACTTAGATTCTTTCAAATGCAGAGTGCTATTAATTAAAGTATTATCAGATTTATAAGCCACTGAATGCTGTTTGGTCTACATACAGTTGACTGAATCTGCCTTTTTCAGTCTTTTCTGATGTGTTCTCTTCAAGGCATTCAAGATGTTCATGCAGCATGTTTGCCAGACTGATTCTTTTAATAGTGCTTTTAGTTTTATGGCTGTCCTCTGCGTCAGTGTACTTTCGTTTCGTGGATGCTGTTTCAAGTGCATCTTAAATACAAAAGATGCATATCACTCAGGACAGGTGATTGCATCTGGCATCCCTAAAACCAGGACAAGTGTTTAGCAAAGGAATCAGTATATGATTTTTTTTTTCCTAAAAAAGGAAAGCCTTTTTGTTACACAAGAGTCTTTTTCTATAAGAAAAGATTTTCAAGGCAGTCTTTTCTGCCTTTAAGATTAGATATTGTGGGTATTGTGCTGGATGGAACTTTGGACCTGCTTTTCTTTGCATAGTTCTGTTGCATTCCTGACCCTCCTGAGTACAGGAGTCCTATTACTTGGGGAGATTTGGAGCTTTTCTCAGATAGTTACTAGAAAGTAGTAACCCTTTGGAGTTTATATCTACCCCAGAAGTATGAAGAAATCCTGATATTTCTCTCACTGAAATCAGTAGTCTTTTAAAATTCAGGAAAGTTACTTATAGAGACTCTGCTTCACATTAGCTTTAATAGAACTTCTGTTGAAGTTTATTTTTCTGCACTTACCTTTAGGATAAACTGGGTTTGGTTTATTTTCTCAAGTTACTCTGATTTAAAAAAAAAAAAAAAAAACACTTTGAATTCATTTTACCCTCTCTCAAGTACTACCTTAAAAAATCAATAAAAATACCTGATTTTCATAAGGAGTAAAACACTTAAGATTTTTTGTAGGGCACCTCAATTTGAAAAAATGTGGCAAATGCTGATCTGACTGTGAAATAATGCAGATGACCAAGGGGCTGCCTTAACAGTAACTTTTTCTTTGCATAACACACTTCATCAGAGTAGTCCCCTATTCATAGATGTTTTTGTACATCATTTCACATAATGGCTAGGGTAATACAGAGCCATCTTTACACGTAGCACTTACTGGGGACAGAAGTCACCTTTTCTGCTTTTAACTGCCTTTCTTTTTCAAGAAAATCATAACATCTTAGTTTTTTCCTTTATTCTGCTAAGAGTTCTGACAAAAAAAAAAAGGCTTAAAGCATCAGGGGGAACAATCACCCGTTTTACACTTTGTACCTTTTTATTTCCACTGTATATATTTCTGTATATGCCGCCTTGTCATGTTACATAAGTGGGCTTGAATATGCCTGTTACACACTAGTGGGAACCACAATCTTTTACATATAAACTATACATTTAGTAAACATTCTGGCGTTCACTATCTGCTCTTGCAAAGATGTCCATGATATCTGTGTCATGCAGTTGATCAGAAAACTGGTTTAGTCTAGTCTAGTTTTAGAAACTAGAAGTTTTTGCTTTGAAGTGCTCCCATTCTAAAACATGTTTTAGCTTGAGTCAGGCTACCTCATAAGCTATTCCTGTTTACCAGTATTTTTTTTTCTCTTTAATCAGTGTAAATCTTAACTTATGTTACCTACATCCTGGAAGGATGTAGGAATCACTGTAGTGGTCAACATTATATATTGCCATGCCATAGTTCATTATGGGAATAACTGCTATTCCAAATATTTTCTTTCCTTTTTTGCTTTTTTAGATCCATAATTCTTTGCTTTTTTTTCTTGGTTGTTTTGTTTAATGCAGTCTAACATTATTGGTTGGCTACGAAAAGCACTGGAGACGGATAAAAAAGACTGGGTGAAAAAAACTGAACCAGAAGCAGATCAGGATGGGTACTATCAGACTACGCTCCCAGCTATTGTTTTTCAGGTATAAGTCAAGTCAGTCTTCTAGAAAATATGGGGAAAAAGAGCATGGATTAAGAGAAACAAATAAGAAATCTATTTGGGATGACATTGTATGTATTGAAATGCAATTTGTTTTCCTGTGGAGTAGCTGGTGTTTTGTTTTGAGATTTTCTTTGCCTTTTTGGCTTTAGATTTTCAATAAGCAAGCCTAAGATGTTTTTCCCAGTCTGTTTAGTTGAGATGCTTGTACTTAGCTAAGTACTTTTACATAGCTACTTTATGTAAAATTGTAATGCAAATTTATCAGATGAAGATGTTTGTAAGTTACTGGAATGTCATCTGCTAATATAATACTGAGATAGTAAAGCATGCATTTGTTTCTAGAAATCATTCATTACTTACACAAAAACCTTGGAATACTGTGGGGAAAAAAATTCTCATAAAGATGAAAAAATATTTCTGTTTAAACACTACTCCACTTTAAAACTCCTTTCAGTGCCTATCTGAATTATGAAAGATCTTAAGTTGGAAAAATGCAGCTATTTTTGAGACATTAATAAAATAAAAAAGTTTTCCCAGCCTATTAGTAATAGATATGAGAAGCTTTTAAATAATCTTTGTCAACCAGGAAAATAAAATGTAAACCTGTTTTATTCCTTTCCTAATTCTTCTTTACAGATTTTTAAGAGAGAAGGATGGCCTTTTCCCTCTTATATCCTCTTATATCTGTTTACAATTTTCTTTCTTTTATTTGTCTCTGTACCAAGTTTTTAACTACATTCTTTCTCATTTATATTAGCACCAAAGTTGACTAACAGTCTTCAGAAGGTGTGTGATTGGAAAAAAAAATAGTGGCTCATTTAATCACAGAATCATAGAACGCTTAAGGTTGGAAGGGACCTCTAGAGATCATCTAGTCCAACCACCCTGCACACGCAGGGTCACCTAGAGCACGTGGCACAGGACTGCGTCTAAGCGGGTTTTGAAGATCTCCAGAGAAGGAGACTCCACAACCTCTCTGGGCAGCCTGTTCCAGTGCTCTGTCACCCTCACTGTCAAGAAATTTTTCCTTAAGTTCCTGTGAAACTTCTGATGCTTCAATTTCTGGCCGTTTTCTCTAGTTCTGTCAGAAACTGAAGAACAAACTCAAACTGATTTAGCTGTAGTGTTAATTATCAGCACTGTCAAAGGTGGCAATGCTCAGGTTCATGTAACAATGAAATTTCCAAAATTATCTCAGTAAAAATAGGTCATACGTTTTTACCAGTTTTTAAGCCCTTCCTCTCCAGTCCTCCTCCTCCCATACGCATTTCTTTGTAGATCACTTAGACTGGTGCCTAGTTGCAAATATGTCATAGAATTTTGACATCTGATACTTCACTAGTGCAAAATGACTTTTTACTATATTTGGGGGAGAGCAATGGAATTCGTGTTAGTTATTTATTGTTGCTGCAAGAGATGACCCAAGAACCTTGGTTCTTTGTAAAAACAAGTTTCTAGTGAATTAGAAATCGAAACTTGGATTATTTCTTCTGCCAATAAGTAACTGTTCTGTGTGTTAGGCAAAAAAACTGCATTGCATCTTAATGACTGTCAAGAATTTTTTAACTACATCTGTGAAGATAGTGGGGTAGGGGTGCTTAGTCAGCAGAAATTGGGCTTGTTTAAAAAAAAATATAGAGAGAGTTGGTGATAGTGAGTCTCTAAATAGAAAATCCAAATAAGAAATCTGTCTCAGTTGTTTAACAATTGGTATAGGCTTGTCTTTATAACACCGATCTTTTTAACTTAGATGTTTGAGCAAAATCTTCAGGTAGCTGCTCAGATAAATGATGATTTGAAAACAAAGGTACTCCTTCTATGTCTTCAACAAATGAACTCATTTCTAACAAGGTAAAATAATTTTAAAATTTTGAATACTTTATCCTGCCTCTGTTCTTCTATTTTCATGCTTGTTTTTCCTATTTGTTTGTTTATTGCTTGGTCTTTCTTCTGTAATGCACGTACCAGTCAAGCTTTTCTTGACCTTCCTTTCCCTTCTTTCCTTCCTCAGTTTCACCAGTTTTTTTTTTGTGCTGTTGACTGGCAGTCTCAGTTCTGTCCTATAATGGCTCTAATTCTTAGAATCAGCTCTTACTTTTATATCTCTGATTGATAGTCCCTTCTGATAAGGGAGGCCAGACAGAAACCACTTCCTTGAGCTCAGCTGTCTTTTTAAATGTTTTGAGTTAAAGGGATTGTGCTCAGAGTAAAGACATTAAATGTCGCATGATTAACAAGCCCATTATAAATTATTTCTAAATACCTTGCAGACCATTATGGAGTATTTTGCCCTACAGTGTGTTCTTGGTTATTTCATGTTTCTGTCTATTTAATGCTATACCTTGGATATATGACAGGTACAGAGATGAAGCACAGTTATATAAAGAAGAGCATCTTAAAAATCGTCAGTATCCTCAATGCTATGTTCAATATATGATTGCAGTCATCAACAACTGTCAAACTTTTAAGTAAGTCTGCACATTTTTTCAGCATTGTGGAAAAAATCAGTACTCTTATGTTCATAATGCTACACCCTCTGAGGACCTTCTTTCCTTTCCTAAGGAAGGAGTTACAGGCTTAAATACATTCATGTATTTAAGGTACTGTAATTGTCGCTGCTTTTGCCAAGTCAAACTTATCAATCACCTGATGCAAATTGCCATTACTCTTGAGAATGTCATTGTCAAGGATGGGGCCTGCCATTTCTCTTGCATTTGATCTCTCACGGTCCTCCTTTAAAAGAGGATAATTAAGGTAGAAAAACTGCAGAAAAAGAAATAATCATTATTAACGTTTGAGTTAAACAATCTAACCCCACACTCAACTATTTCTCTGCAGCCGTTAGTTTGTTACCAACATAAAAGTAGTTTAACGTGATCCCTGGAAGATTGTGCTAGAGAATGAATTAAAGCTTCCAAAGCAAGTAACAGAATTTACTCCCTTTTGGAAAAATAGGGCTATCCAGTATGTCTTTTTCTGTGCATGCACTCAATTTAGTAGCAATAGAATTGTGCAGCTGCTTCAGTATGTGATGAAAAGGCTTGTTATTTGTCACAGAGAATCTATAATCAGTTTGAAAAGAAAATACTTGAAAATTGAAATGGAAGATATGTTATCCAGCAGCCATACAAACATGGATGCGATTTTAGACACCATTGCCAAAGAAGCATGCTCTAGTCTGCTAGATGAAGTCTTCATGGATTTAGAGGTTGGATTTTTCTCCTTCTTTTTCTTGCTAAATAGTAGAGTTGAATAAAATCACCCAAGTTTTTTTTTTTTCCATAATTTCAGTAATTTGGGAGGGGGAGATGGATGGAAATTGGAAATGGGAGAGGGGAGAAAAATGCTTCAGAGTTTTTTACGTTTGTAATAGCTTTTTGAATTTAACATACACCTAAACATCTTAAATAATGCACACATTAAGAAAGATGTGAGGGCATTGTTTATCTTAATTTTGGGGGGAAGCTCTTCAGCAAGATGTTTATTTGTCATTAACTTTACTCACCAATTATGGGGAGATGGTCTGTTTACTTTAATAACTGTCCTTTGAAAATCATTTACCTCTTCATGTAAGAGGTAAATACTTCATGTCACTGTTGGCATATAACACAGACCAGTAATAGTTTTATCTCTCCACATGGGGATCAGATAAAAGTTGTAATAAAGCAATATGGGTAAGTAGATATTGAGAATATTGATATTATGACTTAGGAAATTCTGAAAATGGAATCAAAGAGTAGAGGCCACCAAGTTTGGAATAGGCATATGAACTTTCCAGGATCATCTGAAAGAGGAAAAACTGAATAGCTAATAGCAGTTCAAGAGAGAGAATGAAGTTGCAGTATTTCACTGCTTTTAAGGTGCCTTGAGTTTCAACCAGTATACATCAGAATTTATGCTAATTTTTGTTCTTGGACCTTAAATTTTTATTTAGCATGAAATATTTAAATAGAGAACTAAAATATTTTGGAGAACTTGTGTAAAAATCTCCTAGGTTATTGAAATTGGTCTATATATACATTCAGTGTGTGTGTTGGCGCAGTAATCTATAGTGGCTCTCATTTTGATGAGAGATCTGCTGGATTGTGCAGTAACATTATTTTCTACACTAACTGCATATTTCTTTTGAGGGAAGGTAGTTCACAAATGTTTGACACTTAATTTTTTTTTTGTAGTTGCGCTAAGATAGGAATGTCAAAAAAAAAAGTCCTTATCAGTTTTTGTTGTTTTCTTTTCAGCCGCATCTCAATGAACTGATGACAAAGAAATGGTTGATGGGGTCTAATGCTGTGGGGACTATTTGTGTCACTGTGGAGGATTATTTCAATGACTTTGCAAAAATAAAAAGGCCTTATAGAAAGGTAGGTGCAAAGCATTCTATGGAAAATATATTTGGAAAATGTATTCTGAATAGCATGTCATTTTGGAAGCTCTGAATATTTTATGGAATTCAGAACTAGAATATAAAAATCAGCATTTTGAATTCATGGCTGGAAATTAAAAAATATTAAAAATATATGCAAAAGTCTAAAATGTGCACTCATCATCTATTTTGACAGCTACATGCAAAATTTGCAAAGATAGATCAGAGTTACAGGATTTAGTCCAGAAGGCTGTATTCTTACCAACTTGTATTTTCTGCTTCTTAAAAGTTTGCAGATAGATAAAACTTTCCCTTATGAAACTAGTACTGCTGTCCTGTAATTTTAAGTGCACATTTTGCAATTTCAATTTGCCATATGTATAATAAGGCATATTTAAATTGTTTAAAAACTATAGAATTTGATAAACGCATATTTGTTTAAAGAGGCATTGCAGCAGCATAATATCACCGATTAATTATTTTTATTTTTTTCGTTTGTCAAATGCCTTCTGCTTTTTTATTATCTGTTAGTCTTTTATTATGGTTAGTTTTTATGCTTTATTGAATTAAATTCAGCTTTGTATATTTAAGATAACTAAAAGCTGTCTTAAAATGACAGCTTAGCTTTAGACAGTTAAGATTTAAGAAATAAGTGAGGAGGATCAGGTTTCAGGGATGATCTGTGAACAAACTCTTACCAAGTGAGAAGTATCTGAAAGGCATGTTCTGAAAATCATTCATTTATTCTTTCTTAACTCTTAAAGAGGTAGAAGGGACTGCTCCAAGTTTTTTTGATGAACTCTTAACCTCTTTGCCTTCAGGATGTGCAGATCCTAAAGGTCTTATTCTGTATATGAATTACAGCTATATTCAGTCCAAAAAAAATGCACAAAAAAGTCAAGTCACCCCCAGAATAGTCTATAACTATTATTTTATTTAAAACTATTTTAACTATTTATAACTATCTTATTTATTTATAACTATTATAAAATTATTATTTTATAATTCATTTTTGAAAGCCGTATGAACAGAGCGCCTGAGTAGTAACCTGATACGTAGGCCATGATCTTGAACATTGAAGGTCTGGGTCTTGCATTCATTCTGCTTTGCTGTGTTCCTATATACAAAGTGAATGCCCTGTCAGGATGTTGCCTCTTGAGTTTTCTTTTTCTCAGCTGTAGTATGGCCCTTCTTCTTTGTATGTTAACTTTTCATAGGAACAGGGCATGCGTATCTGTCGCTATAGTCTGTTCTGTGGACTTAATCTTCCTCTGTGTATTTGGAATCAATTCTGCAAATTCAAGAGTTTCAGCAGAAAAAGGCTGAGAAAGCAGCCCTGGACAATCTGTAATTGTTGTATTTTGGCTCTATCGTGAGAGCAGGACTTAAGACTATGGTTTTGTGGCTGAGGGCTATGACTTGCCCTCAATCTTTCTTTTTTTTCTTTTATTTTCTTACCCTTACCTCACTCCCCCAAAACCTTTCTCCAAAATTTTGACTGAAACCAGAAGCACATGTTGTTTGAAAGTTTATCATATTTATTAAAACACTATAAAAGGTTTGTGACAGTCTCTTTTGTAGGCTTTCTCTTAATTAAAAGTAACTTGTGGTGCTTAGGATCTCCCCTCACATTGGAATTTAAGAAGCACCTATTTTTTTTTCCTTCTTCCAAATTCAGTGTTAGTTTTACATGAATACCAGATGCTAAGGCATCTGTAGCTGTCCCCTGTAAACAGAGAAGCTGAGAACAGCAAAGCAGTCAAATGGAAGATATGAGAGAGAGGGTGCTACTAGCTGTGCAGGATCTGGCAGTCTGCACTAACAGGTTTCTCGATCAGACCTAACCCAGAGCACAAATAATGCAGACTAGGTTGGAAAGCATTATACAGTGAACTGGAGTCTTCCTTTGTGATGGCTGATTCATTGACTAGATGCAAAAAACAAGGCTTCGAGGGCAAACAAAGGCAGGTCATCTCAGTTCCTCATTTTGAGGCCATCTTACTTATTTCACAATTGTTCTTCCATAGTAGTCGTTGGATATGCTTGTTCTCCAAAATAATTCAGATATGCCGTCAGAGGTGTTTTTGTTGTTCATCTCTTTCTGGTATTTGGCATGTTCTTTTCATTAAGGAAGGACAGATTGCTATTAGCATGGCAAAACTGAAAAGCCACCCATAAAGTCTCTAGCATTATCTTGGAGTTATGCTGATCTTTGAAACCTGTTGTTTACAGTTTCCTCTGGCAGGAAGTACAGCTTTTTTAGAAAACTAAAGTATTTCACTGGTATTCTAACAAACTGTGATGATGAATTACGAACTCACATTTCAAAGCTTAGTAATTCCTCAAAGACTAAATCTAAAAGTTACGTTTATTAAATATAATGGTTATATTTGTAAGTATCACTTGCATAATCCACGACAACTTTTTTTTCTTTCAGACAATGACTAGTGAGGCCCATCGGAGAGTGGTTGTAGAATACATCAGAGCCATCATGCTAAAACGTATATCTTTCAAGAATGCAGAAGAGAGAAAAGAAGGGGCAGAAAGAATGATCAAAGAAGCAGAACAGTTTAGATTTCTGTTTAAGAAACTTGCCCCTGTAAGTATTTGCTTCAGGTAGTGCTGATTAACGTGATAATTTAGTTTAAAACACAATCTGTGAATACCAAGAATGCCCAGCTGAGACCCTGGATAGAGTTTCTGAACATACCCATTGTTAGAGTTCCTAAGCACCTGTTTTCTACTGCTATGTGTTTGACACAGCTTTCTGCTGTTCCTTCTGGTACCCTTACAGAGAGGCAACCTGTATGTTCTGCAGTAAGTAAAAGAAAAAGCAATTATTTTAGCAGGAAAATATTTTTTTCCTAGCTGGAGGATGGGGAGATATTACATCAAACAGATACTAATAACCAAAAATCAGGGAATATGTATCATTTAGAAATATAAGACAAGTATGTTGACCTCGTTTAAAGCAAAATCAAACTATGGAAAAGCAGCCCCCAAAAAGGGGTTGGGAAGCTACTTATAAAATATGCTTAAAATTGTAAGAATTCTGTGTACATGCCTTTTTTTTTTTTAACTACATAAGGAAAGCAAGTATGGATCAAAAAAAGAAGGGACAGGGGGGAGACTGCACAGAAAAATAAAACCAGAAAAACTGGGGTGAGATTTTCATGTGTGCTCACTGTGGAAGATGTTAGGGCAGCTCCTATATCAGAATCTTTCATTATGGATGATTCTTTGTAAGAACTGTTTCAGATTAAGGTGTTGATGGAAGAGATTATTGAATAAATTGATAAAATGAACAGTATCAGGTTGCCAGGACCAGGTGATGTGGAATTTGGAGTTCTGAAAGAGTTCAGAGAATATCCAGAATTATCTGTTCAATAGATTGGCTGATCTGTTATTGAAAGCTGCCTTGGTAGCCAGATGACTAGGAGGAAGATAATGCAACTTCTGCATAAATTTCTGGAAAGATGTGGCCTGCATATCAGTAAGCCCTAATATTTATGACTGCAAATTAGCAAAACTTAAAGGCTAGAATGCATGGACATGGACAAATATGACATGTTTTTTTGTAAGATAGGACTTTTCATACTGGTGTTTTTAGGGTAAGGCCTACAGATAAGGAAAAAGCAGCCGATTGTCTACCTGGCATTCTTTGTGGCTTTTGACAGGTTACTGCACCAAAATCTTTACAAAATAATTTAAATGGCTTTTGAATCAGAGAGAATATGCTCACATGTGTAAGTACTGATTGAAAGAAGGAAAGTGAAGGGTAGGAGGATCAGTTTCACAAAGGAGGAAGATACCAGTGAAGTCTCAACAGATTTTAGATGGATGCTGTAACGCTCGTAGTGTTTTTAAGTTGCATGGTTCCTGAGCCAGTTGAAGTTGGCACTTGCAGTTACAAGAGCCACTTGAAAAATGGGCTCTAATGATGTCTAATGAAACAGCCATGAACAGCAGATGAACATGCATCAACTTACAGTTCTAACCACACAAAAACCATGAGGTCTGAGTTGATGTTACCACTTAAGAATAGGATCATAGAATTCAAAGATGTGCGCTTAATGCCTGACACCTCTCAGAAAAGCAGGGATAAAAATTAAAATAATAAGCATTATGCCCTTACAGGAATCTGTAATACATGTGAATCCCTTGTGCAGTACGGTGGTAGTTGCACAAGCTTTTAATCAGGTAATTACATAACAAACCTTCAGTCAAATGAAAGTGACCACAAGAAAAGGGTGTGGCAGAGGTCTCATGACGTGAGCAGGACAGAGACAGTGAATAATGAATTAGTTCTGTTTGAAAAGATTATAGACATGAAAATTTCAGAAGGGTTCAAAAAACAACTGAAGAAACTCAGCGATTGCAGCCTATGAACTACAAATAATTACATTTCTAGCTCATGGATTCCCCGACTGCAAATTGGTGGGGATTGCAAGAGTCTTTTGAAGAAATATTCCTGCATTTCTGTCCTCTTTTTATGTTCTTGTTTTAGGCATTTGCTGTTAGTCATCATATACTAATGCTCATATAGGTACTGGGCTTATTGAAATAAAATTGCAGGCCAAGCTGGGAAAATAATTTGAAATAGAAGAGGGAAATGTCTCAGTGGTGACAACTTGCAGCTATTTTGTTTACTTAATGTCAGAAAATTAAGCTGTTTTTGCAACTAAACAACATCACAATACAAAACACAAAGGGTAGTTTATGGATTTGAACAGGAGTTGCTTTTGTTTTGTTTTACTTTTCATCTTGCAGGGATCTGGAGAGGATACTGAAGGACTCTGTGGCATCATTGAAGCCATTGCAGAAGTTATCAAATTAACTGATCCTTCACTACTCTATCTGGAAGTTTCAACTTTAGTCAGTAAATATCCAGATATTAGGTAATTCTCTTCTCAAAATTAAATTGTCTATGTATATTGTGTTAGAACTAGTTCAAGACTACGAAGTAGCTACATGTAAATATTTTCATATTATTCATATTTTAGAATATAATAATTTTCTTAATCTAACTGATGCTAATAGAGAATGTATATGTTCTGAACTAGTGTAATAAGAATACTTGCACTCTGTGTTCTGGGAGTATAAAATATATCTTAAGAGCTGTAACAACAACATGTTATATTGAGATGGAAAAGGTAGTTCTGAGTGACCAGTTTTCTGGTTAAGGACTTGAGGTAGCAAAAATACTTCTAATACTAGAAATACTAGAGTACAAGAAGTATTAGAAGTACACACTGAAACTGCACTGTGAACTAAAAGTGATCTTTCTTACAGAGTACTCCTACAAAGTTTCTTACTAAACCCAGTTTTGCCGTTTTCTTTTGGCAGGGATGACCATATTGCAGCTTTACTCACAGTGAGAGGAGACGCCAGCAGAGATATGAAGCAGACTATCATTGAGACTTTGGACCAAGGTCCAAGCCAACCAAATCCAAACTACGTCCCAATTTTTAAAGAAATTTCAGTTCCCACTCTAACTGTGCCAAAGCTTCTTAAGTAATTGAGAGTTCTGTGGATTTGTGTCATTACTAGTCTGGGATCATAGTCTGAAACATTTGCAGGCAGGTTTGGCAATGCTTTTTCGAGTAAAGTTCAATACTGCTACTTGCTAGGTATGTTTCTGGGGGTTTCTTCATATGGGGAGACACAATCAGTTTTCTAAAAGCAAATGGAGTTAAAAGCAATGGGAGTCAAATTATTGTTTGAAGAATGAAGGTTTTGATGGCCACATTGCTTTTTATTGACCAATCTTTTAGAGCTATATTTGCCATTAGCAAATACATGTTTCTCATGGAATATATTTGCATTGTACAGTGCGTTGCTGTATAAAGGTATTTATACTGAAAATAACACAACCGAATTAGTGCTTAATGCAAAGTAAGTAGACCTGGATATACTAACGTACACTGCTTGCAGTACCTAAGCGGACTATATCTTAAGGACTATCTTTATATGGCACCGCACTGGACATATATTTTCAATTCACTTTCACATTGTACTTTATATATGTATTTACTCTGATGTAAAATAGTTTATTTCAGAAAACGTAATTATAAAATCAGTTTCTTGACTAAGGGGTTCAAAATTGCTAGCATGCAATTTGATTATAGAGTGAATGACCATTAAAAAAGATGCTTGAGGTACAAAAATCTTCATTGATTCACTAAAAACTGCACATAAACACCACCAATTCAATAAAGGGTTAAAGCTATTGTATTAAAGCTGTACTTCAGCAGTGTATTCTTTACGTCCCTATCGAATTACAATAAATCTCAATCATTTTTTTCTTCAATTGTTTGAAGTGTAGAGCAGCTTAGATGAGATGTGTGCATGCCATTGGATTTAAGTTTCCTGGAAACTCAAGATATATTCTTATTTCTGGGATATTTTCAGATTAATACTTGAAGTTAATTTCTAGTATTATCTTCCTAATACATGACTAGAGAATTGCTAAATTAAAGTGTTTTCAGTTTAATTGAAAGGACAGAATGAAGGCACTGTCTCTGACAACTATGTTCAGCTATTCATAGGGAAGTGAAGGAGGGCACAAGCCTACTTTGTACTAATTAATGTTCTCAAGTTAACATATTAGTTTGAGCTTAGCCTGTGAACACACGCACATTGTCATGTTTGACCTATCTCACTACCCAGAATAGATACATTCAATGTCAGCAGCTGGGATAGAGGGCAAAACAAAGATTGTTCGCGTGTGTGTGGTTTGTTTGCTTTTCCTTTTTTCCTTCCCATTCACGTTTTCATTGAATGTGCCCCAGATGACTACAACGGCTCCAGTAACCTGCCATGCCCCAGCGTACATGCTGTAAGGCCTGGGAGTACTTGAGGCACTATGAATCCCCTAGGCAGGGGACTGAATTCTTGGATGGTCAGTCTTTGGCCTAGTGAGTTAAGAACTATTGAGGTAATACTGACTAATTTTGCCTGCATTTCAGTGACAATCCAAGGACTTTGGGGTTGAGTCTGAAATTCTTGTTCTGTGTGACTTGGATCTTCAGTATGTCCAAGGGAGTCAATTAACCCGATCTTTTTTTTTTTTTTTTTTTTAAAAAAATAACCTTTTCCGTAAACTGCCTGAAGTAATCCTGTACAGCTTGAATGTTGGAATAGTGCTATTTTTTCTCCAAAGACAAACCTGCTCCCTTGACTGGAGACCCCTTAGTCTCTCTCCGTTTAGCACAGAAAGGTCAAAGTGACTACTAATGTCCTCAGAGACTCAAAAGTCTCATGGTTCATCTTGTGTAAAATGAACTGCGAATGGAGACCCTCTGCTTCCTGTTGCATGCTAGATCAGGCAACAGCTGCCGTCTGCGTGCAACACTTCCAAGGATGTTGGCAGAGTACTGCTACCCCGACCTCTATCCGCATCTTCATTAAGTGTTCTGTTCTTGATAAAGTTTTCTGGAGGAGCAATGCTGCATTTGGTGAGCCTGCCTCTCCATATGTGCTCACGTAAAATCTCTGAGGTCCCTCGGTCAAGGGCTTTCAGCAGAGTCTTTTTGTGGAATCACTCATCATGTAAAAGTACATTGAGACAGCTGTTCAAAGGACAGAGGTTATTAACCTGTTCCATCCTTAAGATCTACCTTGACAGATTTCTTACACACTTGCAACCATTTCTCTTTTCCTTCACCCTCAAAATGGAAATATTTCAGTTGTACTTTGTTTTTGTATGTGTAGCTTTACCAATACAAAGTGTTTTTTTTTTTTTTTTAAATTGTGTCCACTGGATAACTGACCATGCTTGATGTATAAGCCAGGAAAACTTTCCCTCCTACATCTCTTTAAGATTTAATGCTCTCAGGAAAATAGAAAGAGCTACCCTGGCAAGTTTTGTTTGTTCTCTCCATATGCCTTTTCACGGGAGGATTTGCCCCTACAATGGTCACATAAGAGTAGCTGAGAAGTGGGAAGAGAGATAATCTTCAAAGTTTTGCGTTGACAAATCTGCTAGGAAAGGGTACTAGCCCAATCTGCCAAGATGTCATATTTTACTTCTCACTTCATGCTTTTGCTTCATGCTTCCTGAGCTGTATGTGACAAACTCATGAGTTTACTTTTTCCAGCTTGTCTCTTTGCTAGCTCCCCCATGAGTCATAAATCTGCGTCCCAGCAGCTGATGAGAAGGACTGGGGAGTTCCAGTGTGTGTGTGACCAGGTCATGCTTCTCCCCGTTTCTAGTGAGGGTTTAGCTGAGCTGCAGAAGGTTTTTGAGGGTGGTGGTGTCTACGGAGCAACTGACATGTTTGACTTGTCTTGCTGCAAAAGAACTGACCCCTGAGTTCACTACATTTTAAAAATATCCAGTATTTCCAAACCTGGAACTTTAAACACATGAAATAGTTGTTTGCACAGATTAGTAGTAGTCTCTGTTCAGCAGAACATAAAATTACTTTCCCAGAATGCTGGTCTATGAATTGGAAAAAATTACATGGTAGTTTCCTTGGCACAGTCTGTAAAGCTGCCAGTTTGATTAAGAATGGTAGTAATGACAAATTTATTTCTTGAGCACATTCCTGTCCAGGCAGTAATCCTTTTGTTGTCCAAAAAGTGAATTTTCTGCCCAGTGTGCAATGAGCCAATAACCAAGCTCAGGAGATACATTTATTTATTTATTTATTTCAGAGTTGCACAAGCTTGTGTTCTATGTGATTTCCTGGAAATCAGGCACACTATATATACTGCTTACTCATCATGCCTGCTCAGGGAAGAGGTTTTGATCTAGGAGCGTGATTTTTAGTATTAGAATGAAGGCAGTTTTATTAAGTATACATGGGTTTTCCTGCTCCTCCCCGTCCCACCCCCAAAAAAGGCTTGATTTTAATGAGCAGTTCTAGGTTGTCCTTGGTTAAAGAGTGCTAGCTCTCAGCTATACTTCTTCCTCCCATCCTACCACAATACAGGAGCGTCTGTTTAAACTAAGCAATGTGAATCATCCTTCAGCACTTTTAGTAGGAGAGCACGTGCCATATCCTGTCTGCATCCTTGCATCTTGACAGGCTTCAGTGCTTTTTACGGCCTCAAAGTTAAGAACATTCCAGAATTCAGACCCCTGTTCCTGAGGGAAGGCGGACGCTCCCTTCAAATTTCGGGAGAGGCTGGTTGCCCCGTGCAGCTCCTGGCACATGGATGCTTTGCACGGGCCTGGTCCTAACCCGCCCCAATTACTAAAAGAAACCGGAGCTCGGCACCGTTTTCCTGGATATTCAGCCCAAACAGAAGTATCGCGGGCCCCGGAGGTCACGGGCACGAGGGAGTGGCCGCGGGCCGGGGGTCCCGCT